CTTAATGGTTTGCTCCTGGAGCTCTTAAGCAGGTGCTTGAGGCTGCCTAAGGCTTTTGTTTCTTGCCCCCCCGCAGAGGAGACAACCAGGAAGAGGTGAGTATTGTTTGGTTTAGGTGTTTAAGTTATTTTGTTGACTGTAGAAAAAAACAAAACACTACTGAACCTGATTGAGGTTTCTTTTTTTACGCAGACAGGATGGCCATTCCCCCTGTGCTTCCTCAACCACCCTGTGGAACTACCACAGCACAGTAAGTTAACAGATGTTTAACCAACTAAGGAATCAAAATCAATTCATGTATGCCTTACTGTCCTGTATCAATCATCCCCCCATTGAACCCAGTGAAACATTTAAAGTAATGGAACTCCCTCCATTACAGTAAATTAAATAAATTCAGGGGAGAATACTGTATGTAACATATATGTGCATGCATATGTTTTGTGGTTGTTCTGGCGTCTGGTTGTCTGCCATATGTATCTGACTGTCCTGCTCCACCACACTAACAGCTTATTTACAACTGTTTTCATGATTTTATCCATCCCATACCTCCTCATCCTTGAGGGTCATGAGGTTTCAGTTAAGAACATTTACTGACAACAAAAACAAACAATGACAGTGACAATCTATACATCCCACCCACTCATAATTATTTGTATTCAGGAATGTCAAATAGTCAATAAAATGTAGAATAGAAGAATAGAAATAGAAGTCTTGAAGTTTGAGCATGTGTTACACACACAACCATTTGTCTGTTCCTGTTAATATAAAGAATGAAACACTGATTTTACTAGAAAACTATTACCATTACCTTTATTACAACTCCAAAGTACAGCTATAACATGTGCTTTACAGTAATATACAGTGGAACTGAGTAAATACAAGGTGCTTATTCTTGCAATTTTCTGTTGTGTTAACTCACTTGGCTCCAATTCAACTCAAAATAGAAGCTAACATTGTCCTGCCCCACTGGTACAGATTTGAATATCCCATAATGCAATTCCTACACTGAAGGACAATAACATGCGAAAGTCAAATATAGCCTCCAACAAAGTTATTCTACACCAGTGGAATAATTTATCTCGATGATGAAACGCAGGGACTTTTGGGAAGTGACTCTGCTTTGTTTCTCAGTGATGTCAAAGATCCACAGAGGAAAAATAAACCCATCCACTATGAGGTCACGACACGACGGTTGTGTTTATGCTACGATACCAATATTGGCCTGATCACTGTGCCAACCATCTGCCAGTCGTATTAGGATAAATCCATTTAGGGTGAATTACTGTTAAACATCATGCTGGACTGCTGTGAATATAAACCACTAAGTCCTTCCGCACCGGCTAAAACCTGAGGCCACACTGATACTGATGGATTACCACAGATTAAAAAGGATTTACAGAAAACACATCAAATACAAATCAGGGATGTCAGTCAACGTTTCTCCCTCCAGAACAACCAATGGTAAATTCTTTAAGGTGATGAAGCCCCAGCTTCTGATTGGCCCCTTACACAGCCAGAGGAAGGAGCTAAAGGCCAGCAGTAGGATGGATGGACAGGGTGAATGAGGGGTATATAGGATGGTAGAAAGGACGGATAGGATGGGAGGAAGTGCATATAGATATGGAAGGATACATTCAGTGGATCGGATGGAGGAAGTGATTTGTCCTACTTATCGACACTGTGAGCAGTTGAAATTGCAGCAGTTTTGACACACAACTCAAGGAGGCAATTACTTTAAAAACCCACAGTGAGCTATCCATAAAGGATATTAATATATTTGATGACGCTCCTTATAACTCCAGAACTTTAATTTTCTTCAGTATCGAAATAAATGTCACATCCATGGGTACATTGCATAACTTTTAATGGTGCCAAATGTGGACTAAATGTATGCTTAAAAAAGACATTTTAGCCCACAGCTAATTAAGTGAAAACATGGCAATATTATACATGACATATCTTGTTTATATCCTCTCAAAGCAGCATTGGAAGTTCTAAAACTTAGAGCATGGTTATCTGCCAAACAAAAGTAACACAAAGGCTGTCTTGATTTTGTTATGCTATAGAAAACTAGAATGGGCCTTTAAAAGCAGCCTGCGTACTATATGACTGAAATTTGACCGAGTTAAACACTGACAGACCTGTGACTCCTGTGAGTCAGAAGAACTGTATCTGACCTCCTGTGGGACATATGATCTTGGAATAGTACCAATATTATTCTCACTAAATGACAGAGATTCCCAGACTCAGCTTCAGTCTATTTGCAGCACCTTCTATGTCCTGTTTGGTAAGCTGCTGTGTCAGCACAACAGCAGAGCCAATACAAACCGAAGCAACAAAAACAAACTACATGGGCTTTTACTTTATTAAGGAGCGAGGGCTTTGACTTTGGAATTGTTGTCAAATCTGCACTAAATGTTCAAAGTAACAGTTGTAAAATTAAAGCTGCTTCACTTTTATTCCTAAAAAGTCGACTTGTTTTTCATCCAGCAGCGGCTCCAGGCCACAGGATGAGACACTTCCACAAACAAAGAAACAGTGAGGATATCCGTCACTCGTTTTCCCTTTTCCTCTGCTGCAGCTGATGAGTTTCCTCTTGTTCTGTGCTGCAGCATTTTTCTGATAAAGGTTTTCTGATAAAAGCAACTTCAGTCATTGTATGTATACATTTGTATAAACTAGTGTTTCAGAGTTTCTCTTCTCCAAGAAAGAGCCTATTGCACATTTATGTTGATTAAAAATAAAACACAGTTTTTCAAAGGGCTACTTTCACACTAAATACTGTATCACACCCCTTGAAGATGAACTGAGGAACCACAGAATAACTTAATCCATGTTAGTCAATGAAGGGATATAATCGGATAATTCAAATCAAATCCAAATTGTTTATGGATACATCCCGGGACAATTATCACCCAACTCTGCTTTTCCACTCAGCTTTACAGAGCATTTTAGCATCTTTTGAGCTCATTATTTTGGTATTCCTGTCAAAATAGTTTTCTACCTGTTCAGCCCAAACACACAGACAGAGTTGGCAACTAGTTAGTGAAGAAAGTGAAGCAGTAGCAGCCAGATATAAAAGACATATTTCTCTCAAGAGTTAATAGAAACTAAACCAGAGCTAAAAGGAGAGTGAATATTGGACTTAAATTCATCATGTGGAAACAAAAACAAATTGAATGAATGCTAGTGTTTCTCCATGTCAGCTGTATGTGTAATAGGCAACTGTTTGCTAACATATAACATTATATAGTGATAATAAGTCAGTGTTGTATTTGCAGCTTGCTCACTGACCCCCAGTGGGTACACAAACCCTGAATGCAGCTTTAGGTTATGTTTGAGTGAATAGACGAATTCTGAACAGGGTCAGGGTCCACCCACACACAGGTGTCTTCACTTACTGCCTCTTGATGGGCATCTTCCTGACTCTGTTAGGTTATGGTACTGTATCTGTTTTGGTGTGAGAGCTAACAATAATTCTTACAGGTACATGAGTCCTGGCTCTGCCAAACCTGAATTTTATATTGTGATATATGTCTATATCTTATTTTGGTAATATGCGACTGTCTAAACGCTGTGCAACTTCAGGAATGTGTTGAAGCCAAACTATTTATTTTTATTGGCTTCAAAAAGTAGCTAAGACTAAAATATAACTTTTTAGTTTTACTGGAGACAGCACTATGAAGAAATTGTTTTTTATGTTGACTGGAACATTGAATAATATGACACTTTAGCTACTCCGTCACTCCTTTCTTTCAGCTCCTGTGTTAACCTCTAGTGAGTCATGTAACTATGATGATAAAATAGTAAAGCGGATGCTTCACACTCTTGCAACTGATGACTGAAATGAAGAGCAAAACCACCTCAGGAGGAGACTGCATTGTGGATTTTTCCTTTCTGACCTCCGAGAGGCACAACAATACAAGAACACACCAGTCAGACAAAAGGGAAGGGACCTGAAAAAACACAGCGCAACAGCTGTGTCAACCAAACAGGCAGAGTAACACACACACACACACACTCCTCAGAAGCCTCATAATCTCTTTCACGTCGAGTTTAACAGGATACACATCCTCATGGTTATGCACAGGCACAAACTTTTGTTATTTAAACACATTAAACTTTAAAAACATAAATAATAAATTAATTTAAAAATGCAACCGCAAAACATTCGATTTCAACCACAGAAAACATAAAAAGCGGCAACGTGTTTGACAAAACCAAACTGACCACACTTCATCCATTAGCCACAATAAGAAGCAGTGTGATGTGTTTCATGATATTACTGATTGGGTCAATGTACACACAAGCCTGACTCTACACATTATGCAGCAGTGAAGACCTGACAGTTTCTCCTTTGCCTCGTGGTTCTCCCCCCTTCGGGGACTTTCACCTATGAGTACATGACCCATTTTTTCTCTGGATCTCAGCTTCACAGCAGCATCACTCCCGAGAGAATCTGACACAGCTGATCTTAAAGAGAAAGGC